CACATTCCATTCCAATCATTAGAAAAAAAGGAAAGGATAAAAAGAAAAAAAACACCAAAAAGCCTGCCGATCGCCATTCTACCTCCCCCCCCCCAAAAAAGCCGAAAAGCTTGCCGATCTCCATTTTACTTTCCCTTTCAACAAAAGGAAAAAAAATAAAGAGGGAATATAAAAGTAAAAATAAGTCTTTAAACCTAAAATCCAAATAAAATCAAAGAAAGCAAAAGCTAAATCCTCTACTCAGCTCTGTCTGCCTCTAAAAAAACTCACCAGATCACTTTAATCATGGAGGTGGTTGCAGCGGCTTGTTTTGTCCCTAGGGACAAAAGCAGCTGGGAAGCGGAGACAGTCTGAACTCCATGGGAGCACTCCTCTCATCCCCCCAAAAAAGCCTTGGGGGTGCATGAGAGTGGCTCTACCACTATTCAGACAACCCTCTTCCCCCCCCCTTTGCCCGGGAGGGGGATTTTGAACCGCTGAACAGCTGATGGCCACTGTTCATAGCGGTTCAAACACTTACCCAGGAGGACGGCTACAAAGTAGCCATCGTGCGCGCAGATCCACCGGAAGCCCTCAAAAAGAAACATTTGTTTGAATATGGTTAAAGAAATAGAAAAAAATTGGAATATACTAAGAGGGATGAATTCTCTAAACAATATAGTATGCTTTTTCCTCTTTTGTGTTCTTTTTCTTGATATGAGTAATATAAAAAAGTTGAAATGATTTAAATAAAGGAATTGTTTTAGACACTTAAACATGACTGAATTTAAGAAAATTATTAAAAATGTTTTGAATAAGAGCTAAAGGACTAGATGTATTGAATGGAATGTTTAAAGATTAAATATATTCTTAATTATGGTTAAAAAGAATAAGAAATTAAGGAAATAAATACATATTCGCCTAGGAGGGATATATATTTTAAGTATGTTATTTCTTATGTTTCTTTACTCTTGTTTTCCTTTCTTTTTCTCTTCTCTTTGTTTTTCTTTTCATTGTTTTATTTATTTCTTAAGAAATATAAAAGTGTGAGATGGCTTATATGGAAAAAATAGAGTTAAATTTGTAAATGTAAATGTAATTATTTTTTTTTACAAAATTTTATTGAATATACAATTAAAAAACACAAAAGACACATTAAACATAATATAATTAAAGACAAAAAAGACACATTGGACATGATACAACTTCCCTGTTTAAACGATACTATTAATATTACTTTACATTATTACATTGTTACACAGTGCACATTCTTTCAATAAAGTACATCCTAGTTAAATAACTTTTGGTTCTATCTGATATAACAAATATTAAAATAAGACTTTCTAGGTTATCTACTTAATCATCAGCCTTCGTCCCAGCGTGCCTTTTAAAATCCAACCAATTATACACTTTATTCCAAATTTCAAAGTACTCTGTTTCTGTTTTATTTTTGAGTTCTAATGTCAGTCTGTCCATTTCCGCACAGGATAGAATTTTTCTTTTCCAATTTTGAGCATTTGTTAATCTTGCTGCGGTTAAAATGTGCAGAATTAAATATAAAGCTCCCTTGTTGAATTTATCCATAGTGATCCCTAATAAAAAGAGTTCTGGTTTTGCTTCAATTTTTAGTGATAGTACCTCTTCTAACCAATTCTTTATCAAGTGCCAAAATTTTTGAGCTTCTAAGCATTCCCACCACATATGATAGTAAGTTCCTGGTATTTTCCTACATTTCCAACATAATGGTGAAGATTTTTTGTCTATGTTTGCTAGCCTTATGGGGGGAGGTACCACCTATAAAACATCTTATATAAGTTTTCTTTTTAAGTAGTAGCTAATGTTAATCTCCTATTCCTGCCCCACAGTAGTTACCAATAATCTAACTCAATATTATAGCCAAAGTTTTTATTCCAAATTAACATTGTATCTTTCATCTGTTCTGCTGGCATACTTTGTTCTAATAAATATTGGTAATTTTTTTTATCATTTTGTCGTCAGTTCCTAGCAGAATTTTGTCTAGTTCTGTATATTCTAGTTTAATCCCAGGTTCTTTTTTATCTTTTCTATATCGTGCTTGTATTTGCAAGTATGCTCACCATTCCAACTCTATGCCATCTTCTAATAGTTCCCCTCTTGTTTTCAATTCTCCAGTCTCATCTAGAATGTTTTTATATGTAATTACCTTTCCCAGGTTCATAAATTTTGGGTGCAAAAAAATCAGTGTTGAAATCCAATTGGGTATTTTCATGTTATTAGATTTTTTATTTTTAATCCACACATCTAGTAGTGCTCATCTATTATGTTTCTGGAAATACTGGTGTGCTTTGTATTTCCCATGACATGCCACCCTGTCTGCATGTCATGATCTTCTAGTGCTAGCAATCTCCTATTCCTTAAATGTATCCATTACTTTAACCAAGCAAGTGTTGCTGCCTGGTAATATTTTTCCCAATTTGGGAGACCGAATTCTCCTCTTTCTTTTGCATCCTGTAATAACTTGAATTTGATTCTTGGTTTCCTCCCTTGCCAAATAAATTTGGATGTAATTTTGTTTAAATTTTCAAAAATTTTTTTGCCTAATTTAATTGGTATACATTGGAATAGGAAAAGTAGTTTGGGTAGCACATTCATTTTAATAGTCACAATTCTCCCCATAAAAACAAGCTGTAGATTTTTCCATCTGTCTAAGTCTACAGAGATTTGATCTATTAATTTATCATAATTTTCTCTTTTGAGTGTGATGCATCTTGCTGTCAATTGAATCCCTAAGTATCTTACTTTTTTAGCTATTTAAATGTTAATTTTTTCTGCTAGCTCGTTCTCTTGTGGTTTGGTCATATTCTTGACTAACATTTTCATTTTTTCTTTGTTAATCTTCAGCCCCACTACATTTCCATAATTTTCCAGGACCTGTAATAACCTTAAACCAGACTCTAAAGGTTCCTCCAAAATAAATACTAGATTGTCTGCATATGCCTGTAATTTGAATATCTTTTTCTTAGTTTCTAAACCTTTAATCAATTTATCTTCTCAAATTATTCTTGTTAAAACTTCTAATGAAAGTACAAATAATAATGCTGATAGCGGGCAGCCTTGTCTCGTACCTTTTTGTATCTGAAAACTTTTTGTTAATTCTCCATTCATAATTACTTTTGCTTCTTGTTTAGAATAAATTGCTTGGAACATGTTTATGAATCTTTCTCCAAATTCCATATATTTAAGTTGGGTCAACATACATTCCCATCTAACATTATCAAAAGCTTTCTGTGCATCAACAAAAATCAATGCCATTTGTTTTTCATTGTGTGAGTCATAATATTCTAGTGTATCTAATATAATCCTGGCATTATATCTTATTTGCCTTTTGGGCAGAAAACCGTTTTGATCGGTATGGATAAATTCAGCTGTATCTTTTTAATCTTTTTGCCATTATTATCATAAAAATCTTATAATTCGTATTTAATAAGGAAATGGACCTATAGCTTTTTTATGAGAGTTAAATCAGAATTTTCTTTAGATATTAGTGTAATGATTGCTTTTTTCCATGAATTTGGGGTCTTTGCTACTTTTAGTACTTCATTAAATACAACCAATAAAGTTGGGCCCAGAAGTTCTTGAAGGTTTTTATATATTTCCGACGGTAATCAGGGCCTGGTGTTTTATTGCTTTTTTGTTTTTTAATCGCTTCCATAATTTCCTGAAGTATTATATCTTCATTGAATATATTTTGGTATTTTTCTAGGACCTTTGGCAGTTCAGCGTTCGTAAGATACTGTAGTATTCTTGCTTCACTAATCTTTATGTAATTATTATAGAATTTGTACGTCACGTTTTTTTCTCCTTGGTTTGGTATACTATCTCTCCTGCTTCGTTGCATAATTTACTAATCCATCTTTTATCTTTTTATTTTTTTAATCTATAAACCATCTCTCAGATTTGTTTGCCTGTTCAAAAAATTTTTGTCTGATACTTTTTATTTTTTGTGCCAATTTTTCTTTTTCTAAAATATTCAATTTGTGTTTAAGTCTAGTTGTCGTTTTAGATCTCTATACTGCATTTTTTTTGCAATTCTATTTTTAATTTTTTGTGCTCTTCCTCTAAGCTTTTTTGATACCGTCTTTTCTTTTTATTTTCATTAGCCATGTATGCAATTGCAGTTCCTCTCATGACTGCCTTGGCTGTATCCCATAGATTTTGGGTATTTGTCTCCTCTTTCTGGAAAAATATCTGCATTTGTTCTTCCATTTTTTTGCTTAAATTCTTTTTGATTTAAAATTGCTTTTTTAAAGGTCACCTCCTACTTGCTTTCTGACCTTTCCATTTCATTATAATAGTATTGTGGTCTGCCCAAGTATTAATATCTATCATTACCTTATCTACATCTGAATTTAATTCTTTCGTGGTCCAGGCCATGTCGATTCTAGACCACGATTGGTGGCACCCTGAATAATAAATTGTTTTACATTTGAATTTCTCTCTCTCCAGCTATCCTGGATATTAAATTCCTCTGCCATTTTGAAAAAAGTATCAGGTAGTATTTGTCCCTTTTCTTACACTCTCACTTTTATAGTCTAATTCTCTATCTACGATTGCATTAAAGTCACCAACTAAACAAATATTTTCATATTCAAAATCACCAATAATCTTATGTAATTTCTTGTAAATGTAATTAATTTTTGAGAAAATCATCAGTAAGAATATCTAGAATTTGATGGGAGAAATAAACTAAAATAAGGATTGTAACAGGATCTATGATAAGGCAACCAGAATGATTGAATAAAAAGTAATATTATACTAATGATTATTTTTTTAGGAATATTGGGGAAAAATATACATTCAATTGTTATTTATCAAAACAATAAGAATTGTATTAACTCAATGTTTGCAAAGGAGATTACATTGGGGAAACAGGAAATCAATTAAAATTAATATGTGGAATACAGATTATAAAAATAATTAATGATTGTTTTATAAATGTAACCCAGACAATACACTGTTCACCAATTATTGAGTGATTTATGTTTTTTTTTTAAAAAATCAATAAAATATATTAAAAAAAAAAGACACTAAGCTTGTCGGCTGGAAAGCCAACAGCCCAGTTTTGAAACCTGAGAGCCGTGGAATGGGATGAGCTCCCGTCCTTGCCCTAGCTCCTACCAATCTAGCAGTTCGAAAGCATACAAATGCGAGTAAACAGGTAGCACTTTGGTAGGAAGGTAATAGTACTCTGTGATGTCATGCTGGCCACATGACCACAGAAACGTCTTAGGACAGCACTGGCTCAATGGCCCTTGAAACAGATGAGACCTGACTCCTATAGTCAGGCGACTCCTTTCCCTTTATACAACTTCCAATTTGTTTTTAGATGCCTCACAAATATATTTAACCACATTCCAGCATTTGATTAAAAGTACATTATTACTTAAAACTCCAAACATATTTATTCAACAAACAGAATTTGGCAGTTAGATCAGCGGTCCCCAACCTTTGCTGTGGCCTGGCTGGGGGGGGGGGAGGGGAATGGGGCTGTGCGAACGGTGCGCTGGCATGCAAACTTGTGTGCAGCTCCAGAAAGAAAAGCTTTGGAGGCGCGGTTTTGTGATCCTTCAGGCTTCTCCACACCAAAAGGGATAGAAGGCCTGAAGTAGCACGCGATCACTCCCCCAAAGCCTTTTGTCTATTTGCAAAAGCTTTTAGCATGAAGAAGCCTTTGGTGGCACAGTTTCATGCTCCTTCAGACTCACTGAGGCTGCCTGATGCTCCAAAAAGTGGATCGGGTATCCTGCGCAGGCACACTCAGTGAGTCAGGGAAGTGGAGCAGGGTGCGTTTGTCCCACCCAGCCTCTGCTCTCACTGCTCTGCTTTTAGAGCAAGCGGTTTGGTGGACTGGCCGGGGGGGGGGAGGGTAACTGGGTTGCACAAGTGGCTGGCTGGAATGCAAGCGTGCAGTTCCACTCATGCAAGAATCTTTTAGGGTGCCTCTTGCGCAAGTGGACTGTGCAAGCACACTAGCCCATCTCTTGTGTGGTCCAGTTCCAAATAGGTCACGGCCTGGTAGTGGAAATAGAGCTTGCTCTTTTGAGAGAGAAAAGGAATTCTGAGAATGCATTCGCCATTCAAAAATCCATTGTTGAAGCTTCAAATGGTTATGGCAGGGCAGAGAAAGGACATTAGAATGTTCTGTACAGTGAAGCATTCCATGTTCCATAAGAATTCTAAATTGGCCTTTAATGCATGATGAAAAGTACAGTAAACCAATTGGGCCTCTGAGAATTATATTGCACAATCTGTAAGCAGACTTATTTCAAAGACTGATAATACAGCATTTTAGGTATCTTTTTGTTCAGCCGTCTCCTTCTTGTTATCTGAAGATGAGGCAAGAATTTTGCTTTCCATTGCTTTTTTGGCCAGAATCCCCCTCATACGTTTTTTCTCCTCCTTCTGCTCCATCCGTTTAATCTTCTCCCTCTCTATTACCATCTCTTGGAATTCAGGACTGTGATGATCCAGATGATAGCCATATTGCTCCCGGGCCTCAGCCAGTAACAACCGCCGTCGTTCTTTTTCTTGCTGTTCTTTGAGCTTGCGTTGCTGTTTTCCCCTCTGCCAGTCTTCTATCATCTGTGGCATTTTGGCCATTTTGGCAGCAATGATCTCCTCTCTATAAAGCAAAAGACAAAACTATGAAACAAAATATTGTACAGCTCTAGATATAGAAAAATATGTTTTCACTTTATTTTCAACATTTTCATTTTAATGGGTGAATAGGTTCATACTAAATAGTTATTCTAACACCTAAATCTACAATAGCTTTACAATTTAAAATATTCATTTTGGATAGTGTTCATAGAGATACCATGACATTGATCTAAAATATTGGGAGGTGTCCAATTTAACCTGTTAAATCAGCAATTTACAAATTGCATTTTATATCACTTCTCAAAGTAATGTAGAAAAATCCCAAAGTTACAATAAAGGCTCAAATCAGTGGAAATATCACATAACAAATGCCATCTTATCTGCTATCTAACATGAGCATGTTACTCAAATTGCAAATGTGCTTCTTAAAAGATCCTACAATTTCATATAGCATATATTTCTCTACAGCAGTATTTTTCAAGTTTAAGATGTGTGAATTTCAACTCCCAGAATTCCCTAGCCAATTGGGATTTAAAGTCTACACTTCTGAAGTTTGTCAGGGTTGAAAAACACTGCTTTACAAAGAAGTCATCTATCAAAAGTATTTTAATTTTGTTTAGATTATTATACTATGCCCTGATTCATCTGGCACTTCCACCACTTCATGAGAGGGAAGAAAGAGTCCTGAGCAAAGCAACTTCTACATCACCTTGCTCTGGAACTTATCTACCAGGCAAAAGCAGGAACACTAAACCATAGCATGGCAATCTCAATTTTGCTTAGTTTTTATTAATGCAAAGATTGTTTGCTCTGAATTTTATCAGATGCTTTGCTTCAAATGGGTACACTCATGGCACACCTAAGAATGCCCGAGGACAGCTGTACTAGCCTCCTTCAATACAGCTGAAATTACACCCAGAGTAAAAATGCCTATAAAGCAAACTATATTTAAATATGCAAAATGAAAAAATAAAAGGATTTTTATTGGTGCAGAAATAATTGCCCAAAAAATGGACACTGAACAAATGCTTATAGATGCTGCTCTGCTGTGGGAGATCTACTAATCCACCCTTTGCAACTCACAAATCCTTATTCCCACACCAAGAGTCTCAGAGGTATATAATTTTCATTTCATATTGCTGTGAGAGGCCTTCCTCTGTTGTTATTCTGCAACAACCTCTCTGATGTGGCTTCGGAAAGTGTGTGCAATTGGGCAAGTCAGAAGCCTAAGGGCAACTCAAGGGTTCATTCCCAAAGTATGTGGATTCGTGGCTCAGTGGCAAACGGGCCCATGGGACCAGGCATTTACAAAGCTCCTTTCATCAGGCCGGTGTTTCTTAAAGTGAGGCTCTAGAGCCTGGGGGGGTGGTGTTCCGAAGCCCTTCTCACGCGTCCGCGAAATCAAAATTATTTGTTAGCCTATGTTGATCTTTTGAGGTCCGCCGTAATTTTGCTCCCGAGAGCAAAAGAGTTAAGAAATCCTGGATTAGAGTGACGCTAAGAACAGATGACTCAGCGACGTCCCAGCAAACCCGAGGGCTGAAATTGCATCCCGGCGGTCTCCCACGCGAGAAAGGCGCTCACGGCTTTCCTCGGCCCCGCTGGCTCGAGAGGCGGCGCCTTGCCTCCTCGCTCCAGCCCTCAGTCCGATCTCGCAAAAGGCAGCCACCCGCATTCTCCCTCCTTCTGCCTTCCTTACTTCTGCCTCTGCTTGGCTTGGGCCTCACTCTCTTTGGCATCCAGCGACTGCTGCATCTCCTTCAAGGAGGGGTACCAGATTCTCTCCTCAGCTTCCATTTCCTGCAGCTTCTCCAACGACGGCCACAACCGGGCCGGGTCCACCCCGGAGGCTTGCCCATGGCGCCCAAATAGCTTGGCTTCATATTCGAACGTCAAATGCCAGGCCGGAGTGCGGGGATCGGCAGGGTCCGGCCGATAAATTCCCTTCAGTTGTAACTTAAGCGGCTTGGCGTTATACAGCCTGACACCACCGAGAACCAGCCGACTTCCGCGGGCCGCCATGTTGCAAGGCGCTTAGCAGGTGACCGGAATTATAGAGGGGGCCCTCTTGGAATTAGCCCCCCCTTCCCGTGGGCAGTGCCATTTTGGATGCTGGCGCATGTCGGGCGCCATTTTGAAGTTTGTTCATCGCTGCGGGCACCTCCATCTTTGGAACGTTGCGAATGTTCGTGAAGGTTTTGCTGGGAGGCGGTGAATGGTATTTCGTCATAGAAACAGTAAAGTGTGACACAAAGTTGACTTTGATTCCGATGTTATTTTTTTCTTTGCTTTATATTTCTAAAAATTGCAGTGCATCTTTGCACAAGTGCTTTACGACACAACATGGCTTCGTTAAACCGTGCATTAGGATTTGGGAAGGCTTCAAAGGAGCGATGGCATCTTAACGACATTTGTTTACATGAAAATTTGCACAGCTGTAATTTTTCTAAAATCTGCTAAGGTTCCTCAATTGCAGCGCGACTGCAAAAAGGCTTTTGTCTGAAAAATTAATGCATGTGAAATATTTGGGTATCCTCTTAGGGCAGCGGCTCCCAATCTTTTTTATACCCCGCACCCCTAAAACGCTTCTGATATATTCTCGCACCCCTTACAAAAGTTCGAAATAACGGCAACGAATTATGCATATATACTATAATTTTGAAAACCCAAGTTTTCGCACCTTCTGGAATATCGTCTCGCACCCCCGGTTGGGAACCCCTGTTTTAGGGCTACTCTGTCTTTAACTGCCCCTCGGAGTAATGTTTTCAGCAGACTTTTTTTATTTTCAATCCTGCTTTCCCTAAATGTCCCTAAAGCTACAAGTGGTTCCATTTTATTACAAGATATCAAAAGCAGTTTAACATCATGGGGATTTAACAATTTAATATATTAATTAATTTAATAATTAATCCACCCTGTGGATTACAAGCAGGATGCCATAGAAACGGATGAAGGCCTTGGGTGGACAATGAAATATAGTATAAATTTATTGAAATGCAATGCAGTGAAATACAGTATACAGTGTAATGTGCAATAAAATACAATACAGTAATAGAAAATGGATCATAATAGTTTCTTTAAATATTTTTAAAATATTTTCCACATGTAATTGTATGTATATATAATTGTATATAAGCCCATCCATGTATAAGTAGATCCTCAAATTATTAAGCAAAATGCCATGAAAAGGGCATGTCGGCTAATTGGATTTTTATGGTATTTTGGTTAAAAATGTGAAGGTCATCTATCCACAGAGGAATTTTTATATACTAGTATATGCAGTACATTTATAGAACGATACTACAATGAAGAACATCTAATAGTATGGACACTGATGCAGTAGCATAGATCTTTCTGACATCTTCAGCATTGTTACAAAATGCAGTTTCTGATACTAGCTCTGATAATGATCAGCTCCATTAATGAAATATATTATTTAATCCTCCATCAGGTATACTACATGCATCTATAGAAGTTCCTTGCTCTTCTAGTCACTTTTGTAAAAAAAAAAAAATACCGTGTTTCTCTTTCGGGGTAAGATCTACCCCGAAATAACCCCTAGCTTGATTTTGGGAGGTGGGCTAAATATAAGCCCTACCCGCAAAATAAGCCCTAGTTTTGGGGTGAAACGCATGCCTAAAAATCAAGCTAGGGCAGGGGTAGGGGTGGAGGTGCCCCACGCCATGTGCCGCTTACCGGTAGGACCGCCACAGCCAGGCCTCCCACACCCTGACATTTATTGCACTGCGTGGCTCATGCTGGTGCTGCCACTCATGGCTGCATAGCATTTCAGGCCATTGCTGCTACTTGTGGCAGGAGGCTACATGGTGCTTCACGCTGGTGCTGCCACTCGCAGCAGGACACCACGCGGTGCTTCAGGCTGTTGCCGCTCATGGCAGGACGCTGCACAATGCTTTGGGCTGTTGCCTGCTGTGAGCAGCAGCAGTGGTGTGAAGCACCATGTGGCCTCCTGCTGTGAGCAGCGACAACAGCCCAAAGTGCTGTGCGGCCTCCTCCCACAAGTAACAGCACTGGCATGAAACACCATGCAGCCTGCCACATGGTACAGTCTCCTTCCACGAATGGCAGCACCGATATGAAGCACCATGCGCCATGCACGACATGGCATCCGGCCACAAGAGGTGGCAAGTAGCCACTAAAGTCAAGCAGCAGCGTGACAGGTGTTGGGGCATGGGAGGCCTGGTTGCAGCGGTCCTAAGGTAAACTATCCCCCGAAAATAAGACCTAGTGCCTCTTTTGGAGGCAAAAAAAAATATAAGACTGGATCTTGGTTTTGGGGCAACACGGGTAATAGTGTTTGGTACAAACTAATTTGTCTTCTAGTAATCAACTTGTTCCTTTCTAAGTGCTTAGGAACTCCTTACTTTATTATCTTTCCTAGGATTTTCCAAAGTGAAGATGTCAAGCTGATTGGTTTATGGTTTCCTGGGCCCACTTTTTTCTTTTCCTTTCTTTTATTAAATATTTGAAAACACAATCTTGTAAAAATAATAACAGAAAAAAAATAAAAAAAGACAAAAAACTAAAAAAATACAAGCTATATAAAACTGAATAAGTTTTTTCAGAAGAACATTAGGTTAGAATAGAATAGAGCTGAAAGGAACCTTGGAGGTCTTCTAGACAGTCACTTGTCTGAGATGGTATAGGTTCTCCTGCTTGAGCAGGGGGCTGGACTAGAAGACCTCCAAGATCCCTTCCAGCTCTAACTCTAACCCTAATCCTAACTCTAACCCTAGCCCTGCTCAAGCAGGAGAACCTATACCACAGGTCGGCAACCTGTGGCTCCGGAGCCGCATGCGGCTCTTTGAGCCTTCCCCTGTGGCTCCCAGCCTCCTCTGCCATTTGCAGAGAGAGGCAGAGACAGAGAGAGGCAATTGCGCTTCCCTGCTTCTCTCTCTGTCTCTCTATGTATGTGTGTGTGTGTTTGTGTTTGTTTGTGTGTGTGTGTGTAAAAGAGATTGCACTCACAGTGTTCTCCGAGGAGCTGAAAAGCTTGTTGGGCTGAGCTCCTCCCTTTGCTGCGTCTCTGCAGGAAGAGCAGGAGAGAGCTAGCTAGCCCAGCTATGCTGACTCAGGAGTTGAAGTCCATGAGTCATAAAAGAGCCGAAGTTGCCTACCCCTGAGCTTGTTGGAGAACAACTTGAAGCCAGCTTGCCAGGTGAGCAGCAGATAGGAGAGAGGGAGGGAGAGAGAGAGAGTCAGAGAGAGAGAGACCCTTTTGACATCTAAAATGAAGATAACACTGCATATATCCTTTTTTACCTGTGTGTGTGTGTGTTTTCTGAGGTTTTCACGGGTGTTTGTATGTAGGTCTTTGGTTATTCGGGTTTTCTCCTGTGTAAAATTGGAAGTGTCTTGGCGACATTTCAACGAAGTCCCATTCATCATCTTCAGGCTGGTGTTTTCAGCTTCGTGCTCCTCGAAGCTTCGTCGAAACGTCGCCAAGACACTTCCAATTTTACGTGGGAGAAAACCCGAATAACCAAAGACCTACACACACACACACACACACACACACACACACACCTATAATAAAGGTAAAAAAGGATATATGCAGTATTATCTTCATTTTAGATATCAAAAGGGTTTTGTGGCTCCCAGTGTTTTGTTTTTGGTGGGAAACTGGTCCAAGTGGCTCTTTGAGTGTTTTGGGTTGCCTACCCCTGACCTATACCCTCTCAGACAAGTGACTGTCTAGTCTCTTAAAAATCTCCAGTAATGGAGTTCCCACAATTTCTGGAGGCAAGCTGTTCCCCTGGTTAATTGTCCTCATTGTCAGGAGGTTTCTCCTTAATTCCAGGTTACTTCTCTCTTTGATCAGTTTCCAACCATTGTTTCTTGTCCTGCCTTCTGGTGCTTTGGAGAATAGTTTGACACCCTCTTCTTTGTGGCAGTCCCACAAATACTGGAACACTGCTATCATGTCGCCTCTGTTTCTTCTTTTCTTTAGACTAGCCAAACCCAAGTCCTGCAGCGTTCTTTGTATGTTTTAGTCTCCATGCCTTTGATCATCTTAGTTGCTCTTCTCTGAATTGTTTTCAAACTTGCAACATCTTTTTTGTGATATGGTGACCAAAATTGGCTGCAGTATTCCAGGTGTGGTCTTACACTTACTGCTACTGTAATTGAGTCCATCTACCTTACTGCTGGTCATCCTCTTCTCTTTCCACCTTTCCCACCTTCCCTTTGCATAATATGTCTGAAGTATGATATCACGAGCCTGATCATTTCTGTCTCAAATGAGACTTTTGGGTTGATTTGTTTGATGATCTGTTTGTTTTTTTTGTTTTTGGTTTTTTTTGCTATCTATGGAATTCTTGGATACCATTCCTTTTGCCCATAATTTTTTCCATATTGTTGTCTGTCACATCTTTGACCTCTTCTTTATAATCTTTAAAAAATACATTTACAGATGCAGTGATTATTGCTGGCAGATTAGTTATAAATTTTAGTCCCAATTCTTCAAAAACCGCTGAAATGCCATACTTTTATCTGTCATTTTCTAAATTTTATTTTTCTTTTTCCTATCTTGAACTTGAGTCCCCTCTAGTGGCATAATTCTATATTCAGGGAGTCTCAGTTTCTTTGTTGCTTTGTTTTCAATTTTCAACCAGTGATCTCTTTCCTGATAAACTATAACAATTTATGTTCCTATGGAACAATATTTTCTTTACTCAATTCTTCAAAAATCTCAGCAAAGGTCCTAGTATTCCAAATACATCTAGTGCCACGATCTGTTTAAAAATTTTTTTGAATAAATTCTTATTTAGTTTTCTGCTATTGGTTTTCTATTCTTTAAGTTCTTTACTAGTTAGTTTTTCTTTTATTTTGGGATGATTTACTTATCAGGTAGTTTTTCAAATCAGTTTGGCATTTTAGAAACATTCTTGCTTAAGTCAGTATCTAGTAATTAGCATAAGTCTATATAATAAGACTCATCAGTCAGAATAAATCATTAATAAGGTAGGCCTAATAATGATCTGGCATAATTGTGTTTCCAGCAGTTTCTGGAATACGAATTGTCTATTTTGATAATCAGAAATTGTGGAAAATAAAGAGGGTGACCTTTATGAAGAGAGGAAGATTTGTTACCAGGGCAATATGTAGATAAACATTGCTTAAGCCCAGATGAGAGGGGAAGGTTACAAAAACATTTCAGACAGCCCCCACCCTTTCACATGATATATAAAAAAGGAAAGAGGGGAAGCACATTCAGACCTGCAAGATTCTGTACTATAGTCAATCTTAAAGTAGTTTTAGGTCTACACAGCATCTCTTTTTGGTCTGTCTACCTCAGTGATGGCAAACCTTTTTGAGACTGAGTGCCCAAACTGCAACCCAAAACCCACTTATGCATCGTCGAGTGCCAGGTGGGTGTGGCTCATTGTCTGGGTGTGGCCAATTGGGTGGGCGTGGCTGCAGTGGTAACGGCAGACTGGGTGGGACTAAAAAGTTCAATCAATCAATTCAACTTTGCAAGATCTTTTTTTTCCCCGCAAGAAGTTGAAATTGACTGATTGAACGTTGTTGTTTTTTTGCACATGGCGGCAGAGGCCTAAAGCGAAAAGGTTTTATAAAACCCAGCTGAAGGCCTAGGACTGGGGCGACGATGCGTGTGCCCACAGAGAGGGCTCTGAGTGCCACCTCTGGCACCTGTGCCATAGGTTTGCCACCACTGGTCTACCTGGTAGGGCTAATAGCAATGAAACAATATATCAGCAGCAAAACATTGTGTATTTTTCTTCTCTAAGTATAATATTAACAGTAAATTTAATAGTTATCTTCCACTGATATTCCCATTGTGGTATATAAATTGTTCTGTTTGGATTTTGCATCCATTCAGTCATACATTTTTTAACATGTTTGGATTCTGAATCATATTTCAGTAACAGCTTGTGGATAAGGGTGATATTCTGAGTTTTGTATTATAATTCTTTTTTCAAATTTGCTTAAATCCCAAGTATTTTGCCTTAGTTTTGTAATCTCTTTTGAACTAAGCTGCTTATTTCAGAGATTTCATCTTTGTTTTAATCCTTAACCACCACAACAAAAAAATAAACATAGTTTTGCAGGCTACATGCATTGTTATTTTTCCACTGATAACATTTTTTGTACACTATAAAAATGGATGTTTAATATTGAAGCAAGGAATGATAATCTGGTCTTAATCCTTTCTCTGTATTTTTCACATACTTATAGTATGCTGTTTATAAATGAATAATCTCTTCTAGATTATCCCGTTTTTACCAAACATACTTATGCCAACTTCTGGGAGTCCTGTTCTGTCCACAGAAATTACCTAGCCAATTTTTTTGTTATTTCAATGAATATAGTCATCCAATCACAATTCTAATATAGTCCTAATCCAAGTTAAACAGATGGCTTGATAATGTAGTAAATATAGTTATAATAATAGCTTATATTT